TACATGGTAGGTAAAATCTTTTCCAACTTCCAGGCTGATGACATAATCCCCAAATACAGTTGCACGATCAGATGCGGCAACGCATAATTTCTCCATTTATCGGTTGTTAGCTGACGAGTTTCCTCAAAACTGCTTCCGCCCGCTGCTCAAATTTCGGCAAGGCCCATTCATGCTGGACTATATCTAGACCATCTTTCTCGGCACTCAAACTCTGACAAGAGTAGCAAAAAAGGTTCAAGTTAAAAGCACTCGTCAAATTATCAAACGTGACAGAGTATGCTTTAGCCATGTCTCACAGGGAAACTTGAAAGCAAAAATATTAATCAATCGATTGGCTCTAAAAACACACTATTTTCACATTTAGCACAACAGCATTTCCGCAATAACTGAAAACCCTAAACAAGTTAATGTCAGTAAAAGAGTCGAGTACTAATCAGGATATTGAGCTTTACGTGCTTTTCTGGAGGGTTTTCACCTCAAAGTGCATACTTCCATTTCGAAAACCAAGAAGTGATATTCACATCATTTAATAGTTCCAAGCATCAATGGTCAACAGTAAAGTCCACAAGAACATACCTTAGAAGGATCCATACCAAACCCACTCATTTGCATCATACGTTGTGTGTCATCAGTTGCTGTATGAAAGCAGCAAATTAAGATCTCACTGAATGATAACGTTTTCATTCTTTCATATAGGCAAACAGAAGAGAGAGAGAGAGAGAGAGAGAGAGGAAAATGCATATCCAGATTGATGATTCAAAAGAACCAGTAACGTTCAGGATACTTACCATTTTCCTCTCCCAAAATAAGACTGAACAAGCCCCTTAGCCCAAACAGGTTGAGGAAATACCTGATACGCAGTGTAGATTTATTAACATCCAAGCAATGCAATACTAGAGAAAAACTTTACTGATAACAACACTCAATTACCATGAGCGGCTGCTGACATAGCTGACATCAACAGTACTCAAATCGATACCATTCTGCAACATTGATCTGAACCTCTGTGTCAGTGGAAACGGTATCTTTGCTGAGGAAGAACATATTAAGACGCTTACATCAGTATCCATTAGGATACAAGACCAACATCAAAAAAATATCAGTGACTAGGAGGAGAACTATAGAAAGTATGTCATCCAAGCAAAAGGCAAAAACGTCATGCTTCAATCCCCAAGAAAGAGCCAGACTGAATCAACAACATAGATGTAGAAATCAAAGTTGCAGATACATATATACAATAAACTATATGACAACCAAGACCTTCAAATTCTAGCCAACTTAGCAACTACATCAAGAAGACCAGATCATAGAATGGCTCGTCATACAGAAGTAACACAGAGACAATATCAATGTAGTACTAGACGAGGTAAAAAGAATGAAAGAAAAAGAACAGGCAGACCTGCTACAAAACCCGAGAAGAAAAAGTTGACCCACGCGAAAGTTAGAGTCTGCAGAAGAGAGGATAAAGTTATAATGGCCAGATTCAGCTTTATCTCTGTAAAACCATTAAAGATTCAGCTATAGGCTGTGTCATCAAGAAAAATTACTAATCGATTATTTCTCACCTGTGGTATGATCATTGAAAGATTCTTCTTCATCATATCCATAGCCATGTTGGGGTCAGAAAACATTTGTGCCTGTGCGTTTTGAGCTTGGCCCTTGGGCACGAATAACAGTCCATTTTCCTGAAATGTCACATTATAATCCACATATCAAAATATAAGTTAAGCAAATGATGAGTAAACAAAATGCATTCATTTTCGATTTCTACAGACCCACATCATGGAGAAACCTCGCTTCTTTACTCTCTAATCAAGTAACCTCCATTGCCCATGTTATACAGAAATTAGTTAACATACTTCCTGAGTAAATTATACTTATCTCGCCCTAGATCTGTCATTACTGAAAATTTTTTTTTTTAGATTACCCTAGCCTGCCCCCATAAGTTAATTTCTTTTTACAGCTTTTCACTATATTTAGATTTTTATGGACCAAGAAAAGGCCAAAGATTATTGCATCTATGAGAAGCCTTGAGAGAGGGCACAATAGTTTGCTCAAACTTCTTCCAATCAAATTTCCTTATAAGTAGTCCATCATCTATCTTCTTACTTAATTTGAAATTTCAGATAAACAGTTTTTGTTCTATCAATAGCACTGCTGCACCTTAGTCACAGGAACATATGGCTGCATCTCCTCTGACCCTTTCAGCAGTCTAAGTTCACAGTCCAGGCCTACTCCTAAGAAAACAAGTGTAAGTGCACTACCTAGTAAACAACACAGAGTTTCATACTGATTTTTTCCAACCTTATTAGCAGCCAGGCATTTTCTCAAGGGGATAGTAATAAACATGAAGACTAGAAAGAATGCTAGTCCCAAGCATAAGATCAGCACCCTGGGTTTGTATTTCTTAAACCTGTCTAGTCTATTATCAGCCCCAACAGCAGAATTCAAACTAATTTCAAAGGTAAAGGATGACTAATGAAGCAACATTAGGCATAAGACTTCTAAAGTGAGTGGTAAAGCTATGTGCTGCGGCTAGGAAGTGAATTCAGATAGTTGTTGGTAATGGCCAGATGTCTTATCTCTGGCAGGATTGGTGGCATCCCCTTGGGCCTTTGGCTCAAGTTTTTTCTTCTCAGCTTATTCATTTATTTCGCAGCTCTGAATATTCACAGATTTGTGGCATCCCACATATTTCCAGTCTGGACATGCTCTGAATATCTAAGTAATGCTGTAGTTTCCACAATAACTTCATCATCAATAGAATCCTCCCTTAAATCTGACAGTAAACACATTATACTACAAAATATTCACAGATTTTAGTTATCACTTATTGTAATTCAATTCTCAGATTAACGTCTGGCTTTGCATTCCCTTTCATTTCTTCAATAGTTTGTATAAAGTTCCATTATTTTAGCACTAGACTAAAAACCCTCCTGCTCGCCAATCCAAGCCACCTCCCTGGGGGCCGGGGAAAATGATAAATTTTCTTAACTAGAAAGTCAAAATGCTTGCACAAATGAAAGGCAACGAGTAAAAATGCTTTTGGGATTACCGACTCTTAGATCCCGATGCAAAAGAGGGCACAAGAACCTTTTCTTTTAAGTGGGGAGGGGGATTTGCATAACAATTACCTAAGCCAAAAACAAAAACAAAAAAGGAGAAGAAGGAAAATCGAACCTCATTGCTGTAGTAAACTTTACGAGCACGAAAGGACTTGGCAGGGATAAAATTGGCAGCAGCCCTTAAATTCCTAGCCCTAATAATCACCTGCCTGAACAATTAAGTTGAAAATAAATTTAAAAAAAAAGGCAAAAAAACAGACAAATATTTTGGTTATACCCAAAACATAGATCTCCAGATTAGGGGAAAGCAAGTATACCCTTCTTTGACTATCTTAGGATCGGGCAATTGGGAAGAACTACGCATGAGCTTAGAGACGAAGTAGCGGAGGACTCCGATTAGGACCATCACCACCGATAGCGGTATCAACACCCAGTCCCTTATCGCCGTGTCCAGTACCAAATCCTCCGCCATTCCTCTTTTTTTTTCCTTCCCCTTGACTGATTAATTGATTATTAGGCTTCTGCTTTCTCGCAATCCAATCGAAAAGAATATGCTTCTCTTTCACAGAGCTTCGTTAGGATTTAGAACCAGAAGGCTACAGTCTAGTGACGGCGGATATTTTGACCCTTGAGGGAAAACGGAAAACGAAAGGAAGTTAGCAATTATCCGGTTTCCCAGTCAAACGCCGTTGTTATGTATTGGGCTTTCTTCACTAAATTTGTTAGCCCAAGCAGTTGTATGCAAAGTTTGTTTGAACCAATGCAAGCTAGGGTGTACATATGCCAATCAAGTTGAATATTTGGTGCTCAAATTTATTTGATTATTTTAATAAATTTAAAATTTTGTTTAAATTTTATTTGTTTATTTTTCGAATCAAGGTTGAACAAACTTTTTTATTGAATTTGTATTTCATTGAATATAAAATATGGTTCAAACTTAGTTTGATTAATTGGCTAATTAAATTCGAACGGACTCTTATGAAATCGATATCAATTCCAGTATTGAATAATCTAGTTCACCTCTTAACTCTAACACAAACTACAACCCCTAAAGGGGTTTGGAGAATAATTGGTGCATGCACTCTTCTAAATGCTTCTCAATAAAATCTAAGTAATTTGAGATAACAAATGTAGAACTGTTTTGAAAAGTGTGATTTCCATCTCAATATCATAATGTACTGACTCATCTTCCTAGAGTGTTTTTAATCACTCTAGAAAAAGCATCTACAGAAAGAAGAGGGGGGGGGGTTCAATAATAATTTCTTTGGAGTCCCAACCAACCTTTGGTTCTAGTAATTGATGTGCTGCATTCTCATTTGGATTGCTACTTTAGAGTTTTTCTAAAAAAAATATATTATAACGATTTAATATATGTGAAACAAAAAATTATTAAAAAAATATATTCACAGAAAATATAAAAAAATTTTGAGAGAAATGACAATTCAAATAATACTTCCCAGTCAAACAAAACCTCGTTAATTTTTTTTTAAAAAAATAGTTAAAAAAATATGTTCACGAAAAATAGAAGATTTTTTTTTGGGAGAAATGGCAATCCAAGTATAAGCACTTCCTAGTCAAACAAAACCTTGATTTCGTCCAAAAAAAAAAAGTCAAACAAAACCTTGTTAAGAAAAAAAGTACACTACTAACAGGTGACATGTGATTTTCGTTTCAAGCCTAGTATAGGTTTCGAATTTCGATTGCAGAATGATGTCGGAATCTTGGCGTTAAATTTCTTTGAAGGTATATAAGAGAAACTTATTTTAGAGGAAATCTTGTAATAGTCCATGTGAGTATTGCTTTCTTTCGCAACTTTTCAGAAAGGTTCCAAGCTTGCAGCTGCGGCATTGTTGCTTTATTCTTTATATACGATCTTATTACCTTCCATCCATGCACTACATTTGTTCTTTTTCTCCAACAATTCTAAATCCGACATTCATTTCTTGGATCTTCAATTCACAGGTTCAATCTCCTTCCTGCCTTCATATTCTTCAGCCAAATGATCTCTATTTCCTTTCCATTTACGTGCCCGACGATGCCGTACGAAGTACCACGCCAACCCCTACGCCAAAGAGCATGTCTTTCGGACAGGTTTCACTGTTTTCAATCTTCTTCCACAAATAAGCTGTGGCCCAGAGACCAGCCTACATTGTCGGTGGCATGCAAATGCAGTGCTCAAGGATTAGGGTCAGAAGATGATGATCGCAGAGCTCTGGAAACAGTTCTCAAGCTTTACAAGGCAATCAAGAATAAGAACTTCAATGAACTGTCTGATATAATTGGAGAAGAATGCCTATGCAATTGCAATTTTGTCTCCACCTTCCACCCTTTTCATGGTAAGGAGGTAAGCTTAATAGCGCGCACACACAAAAGAGTACCTGCATCTGATCATCTTGATTCCAAGTCCAACCCTCCTGAGTGCACATCTAACCTTCTGGTCTGGGCTTCCCTGTATACCCTCGCATGCAGCAAGTATTGGGATTCTTCTCTTCTCTCATGAAGAACTTGGGAAATAACATTGAAATCGTGGTGAAGCCGACATTCCATGACGGAATGAATGTTGGTGTATCTTGGAAACTAGGTTCTCTCCCCCTCTCATCACAACAACTTTCATATTTATTAATTATTTTTTTTCCTGTCTAAACGTGGACTAAAGAATATCCTTCGTCTTTATGTCCATTCTGCAGAATGGGGCAAGAATCGCGTCCCTCTGGGCAAAGGTCTGAGCTTCTACACTTGTCACATTTATCAGGGAAAGGTGGTCATAAAGTAAGTAGCATAACAGATGAAAGAAATTTAACTTGCATTAGTTTGTTGTCTTCACTGTCAGCTTCAACTGTGACTAGCTAATTGTTTCTGTTTGATTGCTTTATAATCCAGTAACGTAGATATGTTCTTGGAGCCAATCCTTCATATTGAACCCCTCAGACTGGTGAGTATGGTTAGAGTTCAATTTTACTTCCCAGTGCAATATGAATGGGCTAACCTTGATGTTCCACAGAAAACAATTACATCATTGACGAGTGCCATGGACGACATCTATTCCAGGGCTTCATTTCAAGGAAAGGCAAAAGCAGCAATGAAAATTTTCTTCATTTTATTTCTCGTGGCCGCATTACTGTACTATCTCAGGCATCGTTTCTAGGCATGTATGTATCCATGGAGTCGAGAAGTACTGGTAGGGGTGACAGTTTCAAGGCTAAAAGAAGAACATCATTCTTTGCAATTAACCATTCATCAGACAGCAGCGGCAAATGTAGAGTTATCAATGCCAAAAATTAATGAGAAATTACATGTTTGGACTGCATAAATTAGATCCAACGCGATGTAGGGTGCCAAATTTGTATTTTCCAAACAACGGTATCAAGGGCATTTGTGCATGGACCTCACACTGAAAGCTTTCAGTTCATCCTCCAAATTTAGTTTACACTGTTAATAAGCTTTTCAAAGTAGGAAAATGCTGTAGTAACTATTAACTAAATAGTTTTTACCTGATATAACAGGTTATTATACTTTTAGTGACCATTTAATTACCTGTTGGATCTATCCACCTAAATAGGATAATGCCTAAAAATAAGGAAATAAGTTTTTTATCTAAAATAGTAAGTTAACCGTAATAATTAGTAACTTTTGTGTCTCAAAAGGTAAATTGGAATAAATATGAAACTTATTTTGTAAAGAGATAAATTACTATTTTATATTCCAAACATACTTTTGACAGAGTAAGTTTAGTTTAAGTAATAGTAAGTTTTTATACATAAATAGTAATTTAGGGCACAAATGTACTATTTTGCTTAAAAAACTTATACCAAACCAATACTAGGAAGTTTATTTTAAATAACAATAAAATGTTTTTATTAATGATTAAAACTTAGTATCTTAGTTAGTAAGTACTCGAAATATACTTGTATAATACATGATTATATGTATAATTTAAAAATTTTTTGTATTTATATATTTTAAAATACTATGAAAAATATTTTAACCTTTCACATAACCTTATAAAATAATAAAATTTTGTCATATTATAATCTTGAATAATTTTTGAAAAGTTTAAAAGTTTGGATAATAATAACAACACATCTTCGTAGTTATTTATCGAATATCACTTATCTATGTAATTTCTATAATTTAAAACCTATTAATATAATAAGAGGATAAAGTTTTGATATATTTATTGTCTGGGACACAAGAAATAATAAGAATTAAACTTGTATTAATATAGACCTAACAAAATGAGAGAAATAGTGTAACAATTAATACAACAATAAAAATAATAGAATTAGTATAACAAAATTAGTATAATCTGGAACTTTTTTTCTCTTGAGATTGTTTATGAATATAAGATCCAACTACTAAACAAAAATCACATGCACATATAATCTATTGTATAATTTAAATTAAATTTAGTTCATGTACAAAATGATGCTAAATAATTAGCACACTACAATACCACATTATTTTAACAACAAAAAGTTTTTTTGCCAAAAGTCTCCAATATCCATGATATATGTATAAGAGATATTTTACCATATTTTTATCTCTGTTTTTTCCATATTTGTATCTCATGTCTAATCATTGATGTTAATTTGAGGAAGAATATTTTTTATAATAAAATCATTTTGAAATTAATTAACAAGTTGAGATTTTTTTAAAAATAAAAGTGAAATATTTTGGCAACTTATTTTTTATTTTCCCAAAATTAAAAGATTGCTATTTTTTACCAATTGTTGCCATTAACATTTCATTTTCTACACTAATTTTTATCAATGTAAAATTAGTTTAGTTAACAATAATTGAAGTTCTGTTGGTCCGAGGATTAGCATGCTATTGTTGTTATTTTACATGTAAATATATAACCTAATTAATAAAACAAATAATAGCTACTTAAAAAGAAAATAGGTGCTCAATTGATTGCATTCAAACTATGAATTCTGTTAGTGCATAATTGCTAAATTATATTTTTATTTATAAGAAATCAATATGCATCATATATTGACCAAGACTAAATTACTAATTACTTAACAAATCATATCTAAACACATGATGTGATATATATTGCATTTGGTCACCTTTATACTCATACCATTTTCCTTTCTTTCTATTTATATTTTAAAGGTGCAAAATTCTCTTGATTATATTAGTGAAAATGCATAAAATCTTTTACAAAATTATTTCAATTTATTTACAAAATATTGTACTTTTAGGAGAAGCAATGCCTTGTAGGAATGGTTTACTAATTTTTTAGTAAACATAACTACTACATTAAAAAGTTTAAAAAAAATTGATTTTATTATGCTTTAATTAGGAGTGCTTTTGAAGAAGAATTAGGAGATTAATTTCTTTGATTCAAGAATTTTTAGAGATTGTAATTATCAAAAGAAAAAAGAATTTTTAGAGATTGTAACTCTCTTATTATTTGATTTAATAAATTTGATATTTGTGCAAGTTTTCATGTCTTTTATTTTCGGCAATGAAATTTGTACTTACAGTTAGATACAAATACGGTAAAATATCTCTCATATGTATGTCATGAATATTTGAGACTTTCAGTAAAAAAAAAATTTGTTGTTAAAATAACATTGTATCATAGTGTACTATTTATTTTTGGACCGTTTTATACTTGAACTAAATTTAATTTAAGTTATACAATAGATTATATGTGTAAGTGATTTTCATTTAATTGTTGGATCTCATTTTTATGAACAATCTCCCAAAGAAAAAAGTCCATATCATACTGATTTTCTTATATTAACTGTTATACTAATTTTGTCATTTTTATTGTTATACTATTTCTCATTTTGTTTGGGCTTTAACTCTTATTAATTCTTGTGTCCCAGATGTAAATTTATTAAAACTTTATCATCTTATATATTCATAGGTGTTAAATTATAAAAACTGTGATATATAAACAAGTGATATTCTTTATATAACTGGGAAGATTTGTTGTTATTGTTATCCAAACTATCAAACTTTTCAAAAATTGAAAATGATTAAAAACTTATAATATGACAAAATTTTATTACATATTTTACAAGGTTATCTGAAAAGTGAAACTACTTTTCATAGTATTTTAAAATATATGAATACAAAAAAATTTTAAATTATACCTATAATCATTTATTATACTTACTAACTAAGGTACTAAGTTTTATAAACATCTTATCATTATTTCAAATAAACTTCCTAATGCTAGTTTGAGATAATTTTTTAATGTAAAATTGTACATGTATTCCAAAATCAGTAAGTTTTGATCATTAATCAAATTTACCATGTTATTAGTAAGAATTACTATTTATGTATAAAAATTTGCTGTTACTTGAACTAAACTTATTCTCTAAAAAGTAAGTTTGGGATATAAAATAATAATTTATTTATTTCAAAAGCAAGTTTAATCTTTATTCCAATTTACTTTTTGAGGTATAAAAATTACTAATCTATTAAGGTTAACTTGCTATTTTAGATGAGAAACTTACTTCTATATTTTTAGGTATTATATTATTTAGGTGGATAGGTCCAACAAGTAATCAAATAGTTGCTAAAAATGCAACAACTTGTTATTTTAGGTAAAAACTGTTTCGTTACCATAACTATCGTTACTAAAGCATTGTCATTCAAGGTATTACAAACGAGTTTTGGGAATGAATAAAATTTCCATTTTTTTCAGCAAAATGCATACTCAAGCCAAATTTCTCAATGATTAGGGAAGGGCTTTTAGATTTTTCCCCGCTACAATGTTGCCAAATTTAGAATTCGAAAGGTGGGGGTGAGAAAGTGAGAAGGGGCAGGAGAAATTTTTTTTTTAAACAAAAAAGCTAAAGTATAAACAGGCATCCAAATTCGTCCAAGAGGAAAGTGTGAAGATTATAGACCTTTCGTATACAATATTTAGTGTCTCAAATTTTAGATACAATATTTAGCCCAAGAGAGAAGTTGAGATAATAGAAGTTAATCAGACTACCTTTCCCATCATTAGCTATTAGACCTAAGATTCAAAATTGAATCTAACACTAGAATGAACTTTAAGAGCTTATTATTGATCGCTAGACCAGCCCTAGTGGTTCTAATTCCATATATTAGATTAGCAAATTAGTCAATAATCAATATATTATAGTTTGTTGGTGTTCATTAATGATAACTTATTAGTAGTTTTATGCACACATACACACATACATGCACATATGTATATGTGTGTGCGTGCCTATATATATATATATGCACGGGATATATAATATTGTTATAAGTAATTTTGGAGATTTGGTTGGTATTAGATAATCTTACTTTAATATGCATTAGTAAATTGCTTTACCAATATTAGCGATTAAATGTATCTTGATTTTACCTAATTCCAACTTATTGAGACTCGATACATGAGCCAAATTGGTTCGGGCAAATTTTTCCATTTTTTCAAAATTATGGGGGAATCAAGAAAAAAAAAAAAAAAGTGCTACCGATGCATCCTAGAAGGGTGGTACTACTATAAATCTTTGTTTATTAGTAGCATTATTTTTTCGGTAACAATAGTGAGTAGTATTACACTACTATTAATCTAACAAAGAAAGAACAAAAGAAAATATCGTTCAAGTACGACGGCGTATAGGACCTTAAGTTATCATGCGAGCATCTGTACAAGGGATCAACGCGAAGTACCGGGAAGAAAAACAATGGCGCAGGTTCTGAGCCCGCGGCCTCCGTTGCCGACCGTGCACTACCGGAAATCATCACCGCCCCGCAAAAACTCAGCTCGCAATCAACTAACCAGCTACAACAACTCAGCACGAGTCAACCCCACCTGGGCATCTCTTCAGCACAGCCTCCAATGCAACGGCAGATTTTCTTGCCTATTTTCCAACAATCGCAAACAGGTATCCCATCCCCTATCAGACCTTCCACTATTTTCCCTTTTGTTGTTGGAGAATAAATTATTGAATGAATAGTTTGTGTTACCCTGTCAGTAGAATTTATCAAACTAAATTTTGCAAACTATTTGCAAGAGAAGTCATGGAAATAGTTCTGTGTAATTCATACTAGTTCAAATAAAGATATTTCAGGTCTAATTGTCTAAGTTCAGCTATTGATTAAATTTTTTCCGTTGTTGTCTTTTCCTCCCTTTCAAGTGTGTTATTGGAGTTAAACGCTCTGGGTGGATTTTGTTACTAATCTGGTTTTTGGGTTAACAGTGAAACATTAAAATAGAAGTCTTGAAACGTTGGAAAGGGATATTTTTTACGCGTTAATGTTTCTTTTAATTAGGGTTTCTTGAAATTTGAGGATGTTTTTAATATGAAGATTTCAGCTTTAGGACTAACTAATATAGCAATGACATTGAACTAATTGATGAAGCATTTAACCTAGAATATGGCGAACACCTCAAAAGTAGTAAACTTGACCTCCTATCAATTACACACAGAGTGACATGTATAAAACCAACCTGAGAGCTGTCTTTCATTTTGGGTTGGAAAATTGGGCTCCAGCTAGGGCTCCTACTCAAGATATCACAGCTCTGGAGACGACTCTAGTACCACGTAGCTAAATCTCATTGGTAAACTTGACCTTATTGCTTTGTGCATTTGATACAAGTTTTGGTAGGTTCAGAAGAAGACGATTGAAAAAAAAAAAAGAAGCCTTTTGGAATATAATGTGAATATTGGAGGTGAATGGTTGGTGATCAAGCAATACGACCTGCGTATGGTTTGTTAGACTTGATGCGAGCCATTTAATGTTTCTGTTCTTGCTGGCTTATTGGACTGCTTCTGACAGATGGAGACTGGGGGAGGGTGGCAAGTGCAAAAGTGGACCAGATTTCGAATCAAAGTCCAAACCATGAGTGGTGTGAATATTTGTTCACAGTAATATTTATCATATGTGAGGTATCATTAGTTTAACAATTAGTCCTGCTTACACACTGGAAGTAAATGAAGTTATTGCCATGATGCATTGTGCCTTTTGGTGATTCTTCCAAAGTTGCGTATCTGAAAGTGAAAGCATGAAAAGAAAATGATTAGCCACTATTGGAAATTCTGGTTTCAGATAATTAATAGCTTTTATAGTAATCCGGACTGCTGATTTTTGAGCTACCTTATAGCAGAAAATCTTGGTTGTATTGTAAATTTACAAGTCATTTATGATGATTGGTGAGGTTCTGGCATTATAAGGTAATTGACAGATCTGCTTCAGTCCTGGCATTCTTTTTTTCTTTGGACTCCTATTCTGTTAATTTTAGTGGTATTTGGTCAAGTTGTTCTATTTTGCTTCTGTACTCTGCTGCTAATCACTTAGATGTTATAGATCAAATTGCAAGTGCATCTGCAGGGAAGTACTCTTTCATGTTGCTCAATGATCGATAGTTAATTTTGTCTCTGATTAGACTTGTGTTGTGGATGGTACTGAACTTTTTGGTTTCAGAGTGAGGAGTTTTGAATGATGTAACAATTGGTTTGTTTAATTATGATTTTTTTCTCCATTCCCTTCTAGATCAGTTAAAACACTTGGAGGATGCCATTCTTCCATCTTTCTATTGTGATCAGCATCAAATTCAGTGTTAAGAAATCCACAAAGTAGGCCCTTAAATGTTGGCAAAAATGTATGTGACAAATCTTCCATTTTTACTGGATAAATTTGGATCGAACACCTTCTTCTCTTGTTTGTCTACTTGGAGCAGTGAAGGGATGAATCATGAACCTCATTGTCTTGCAAATTGTATATTTTTATGCAAACAAAATTCGAGGAATGCTCTGTCAAAATGATGACCTGCTTTCTAAGTCTGATAAATTGGAATAGAGGTTTTTGGTTGCAGTGATCCTTAAAAACTACCTGAATGACCTCTTTTGTGTTCATTGGTTCTTTCTTCGTTTTCTCAGCCTTTTATTTTTTTTGGGTCTTATCCTATCTGATTGCCTTGTATCATCCTTTTCTTCTGCAGGAGGAGGCTAGAAAAGCTTTAGAAAGTGCCCTCGGAGGGAAAAAGACTGAGTTTGAGAAATGGGACAAAGAACTTAAGCGAAGAGAACAGGCAGGTGGAGGAGGTAATTCTGGGAGAGGAGGTTGGTTTAGATGGTTTGGTGGGTCTGACGATGACCATTTCTGGGAAGAGGCGCAGCAGACTAGTCTCACAATTTTAGGTATTATTGCTATGGTAAGGATTTGATTTAGTTCCTTGTCCACTGTTCCTATTTTTACAAAGTTTTTTCTTTATCTACATATCATATCTCTAATTCCCTATTATACATGCCTGCAGTGTCTGATTATTGCAAAGGGTGATCTGATGATTGCCGTTGTTCTCAATCCTTTGTTGTTTCTTCTGCGCGGAACAAGGAATGGGCTTACCTTCTTAACAACTCTAGTCAGGGAAAAGTTAAATTCAGTTACAAATCCTAGTGTTAGTACAGTTCAACAGAGGCAAATTTCTGCCCCCGTTTCTGCTAGAGAGAATGTAATGAAGAAATGGGGAAGTAGTTGATTGCTTGGTCCGCCTGCAACAGCAATTTTGGTTCTCTAAGAGTCCTTCCTTTAATTATATTGGTCTTTTTAAGATACTTGTCACTTTTTTTTCTGAAGATATAGCACCACTATGCAAATAGGATTTCCCTGCTAGGTGCCCCTGGTCCTCTGACAGAAGGCTCATAGGGTCAGTTCCGTCTCTTGTAATGGTGAAGTCTTATCTTCCCAATCAAGCTGAACGCAAATGGCTTTTCATTGTCGTTATTTTAAGTTATTAGTGGAATTTGCCTCTCTAATCCTAAAATTTTGTACCAATTCAAAAGAAAATCGGCTCATGCATTTATGGATTGGCGACATGAAAAATACATGATACTTCACCGAGCAAATTAATGTGTACGTGCAAACATGAGATATATGGGATGCCGAACCAGGCAAATTAATGTTCAAATTCCCAGTGCCGCTGATGATGGTGTCTGTGTTGTTGTGTTATCTCCACACATTTCAAATTTGGAAACGTTTTCTACAGTAAATGCATAAAGAGCTATTCGGTAAGCTGTCCACCTCACCCCGTCTCAATAATATTTCTCTATTCCATCCAGTAGCAGAGGAGTGAATTGAAGGGGAAGCTGTTGTAAACCACACAAACACAAAATCATCCAACCTTCATGAATACGCTTGACCCTGAAGTTTGTTCCTGGGGCGAAATTGATTACATTTCCTGATTATGCTGCGGATTTGACGAATGTAAAGTTTCAACATCAATCATGCGCCCGAACTAATAAAGCTTCATCAAGCGTAAGCGTTTAACCGGGCAAATTATTAGTCAACCTAACAGTTATGGTACATCAATTTGAATCATATGGGGCCAGTTAATTATGTCAATTATCGCCTCGCAAACTTGCAGATCTCCTTTTCTTGCATCTGTTTATATCATCATCATCATCATCGTCTGCTGGGGCTGGGCATCCAGTGATTCGAGTCGAGGCAACTTTGTACAAATGACCTCTATCCGAGAAGTCATTATTATTATTATTATTATTATTAGTATTTAACCCTCCAGAGACATATAATGTCCCGAATCTTACCAAATGGAGCTGCAAAAGAATTTGCCGTTCTCGGGTTACTGATCATTGCAGATGAGTCGGTTTGATCATTGCAGTTGAAAATAGCGGCGGATAGATTACCGACCCAACTAACCTTACTTGAAAAAATGAACTAGCAGTAATATGTTTTCCACAGTTCGATGTCCAATGCAGTTTTGGTGTACTTTGGTGTCTGTACTTGGTAATGCCCAACAAATAATTTTTTTGTCATTTATTTCTGGGGAAGTCTGCTCATCTGCTGTGCTTGACAATACTATTAATATGAAGATAAAATTATGTACTACTTATAATGCATAATTGACACAATTAAACTTTGGCAGAGGCTGCATTTTTTGAAGAGTTTCTGAGAGGTAAAAATGCGATCGACGGATAATAGGATAATCTTAGAGCAGCTTAACACAGAAAGCAAAAAATGGTATCCATTCTCCCATTGGACTGCTAAGTTTTCACTGTAGCAGAAATTCTCGCCTGAGATTAATTAAAGGAGAAAGAAGGAAGCAGTAGTAGTGCCAACTTCCAATTGTTAAAAAAGTTTGGTTCTTTCTTGTCAAAGCAAGGTATTATTAAAATCTAGAGATGTACTGTATATGGTACACGCATCGAACAAAAGGCATTTTCATTTTTTGTTTGGGGTCTTTCTGTCCTTGTGTACTTGCCAACAGCATTGAGTGGACAGCATTAGTCGCTCCGTTGAATGAGCCGGTGTTAAAAATCCGGTAGTGTTAAAAAGGGTACGGCCGTATATGATATCAACCAAAAATCTTTGATGGTATGAATGTGTGGCGATATCAATGGCCAACAGCGGCCAGATCATTATGCAGTTTGTACTCACCCCCCACCCCCCCCCCCAAAAAAAAATAATACTTAGTAAAAGATGATGATTATTACACCATTAGTAAAGAGATTACGACTTGGATTGGAATGAATTACAGTGCACCTAAACTTTGACAAAAAGCAGATGAGTTATGTGATGAAAAGGTGTTTATTGCAGTAATCTGTTCTGTTTTGAGTTGAGTTTCTTCGGGAGTGAGTGAGTACAAGTGTATAAGCATTAAGAAGGCTGCCTAAGACTGAGGAAGAGGGGAGTTAGGACTTAGGAGTCGTCCAACAAGAAGGGGTCAAACAAACTAAACATCGTCCACCCAATCCGAGGCTGTCCTCATATCATATGTGTAGAAGCCCCCTCGAATCGTGGCCTTCCTGAAACCTACTGCCACTAAGTGACCTTCACGATCTCACCACCTCTCTCTTTCTCTCTCGCATTCATTACTTTTTTCATTTATTCGCAAGCCCGGATCACCACATGACCATTTCGTTCCCTGCTTCCATTTCCTCAAACAACCCCGCTCTTTCTCACTTTCACATATATCAGCAACAAGCCTTCTGCTCTTAAAAATCTCTTTTGCCACCCCAGTTTGTTTCCTTCCTTTCCTCACCTTTTCTTTGGATTCTTTTGACTTCTTAGCTTAAAGAATAACCTTCCCCACCACCCCCCACACACACCCCACCCTTCTCTATCCGTGGCGTGACATTTTCAATTTGTTGTTTCCATTGAGGGAAGGAGATTCTTCCTGTTTTGTCCCCCTCTTCTTATCCTCTTCTGGTTGTTGTGATTTGAATTCAGGGAGTGAAGGGGTGGCCTTCTTTTCCTTTTCTTTTCTTTCTTTTTTTTTCCTTTGACAGGGGGAGGAGGTTCTGCTTGTATTAGTTGTTTGTTGAATGGTTTGTTGTTGTTAATGTCTTTGGCTGTTGGAGTTGTTTCAAGTTCCAAGAGTAGTAGCATGGGGTTTGATGATAAGAACAATGGGGATGAGAAGAATGGGGGAACAAGTCCTGCTCCAGGAACTAATGCTGGTAAAACGGGGCCAGTTGACCCTGAGATTGAGCAAGAATCTGTTGAAAAAATCAACAGGCAGATGAGTGAGAGCTCTATTTATACCACGGAAGACGAGGAGGATGAAGATTCTGATGCCAATATACAATTAGGCCCTCAATTTACCCTCAAAGAACTTCAAGAGAAGGATAAGGTCTGTCCTTGCTCGAATTATTTTCATCTTGTCTTCCCTGATTAATCGGCATTTCTGTCTCATGTCTGATAATTTGTATTGCAAAAAGTGTAGGATGATGAGAGTTTGAGAAGGTGGAAGGAGCAACTCCTCGGGAGTGTTGATATCAATTCTGTTGGAGGTAAATGTGTTCTTGCTTTTATCTTTGCTGAACGAATTTTTCCATACATGAGGATTCAGATGCATTTGACTCGAAAAGACAGTTCAATTTGTCATCTTCTAAGTTCCATTTGCAACCCCATTTTCCGGTGAAAATGAAGATACATGCTAGAGATATTTATCACAGAATTCAAATCTGCTAACATAATTTTGCCAAATTTCTGGCTTTCAGTAGTTTGTCACGACCAACAAATTTGTATCCACAATACAATAAACTGTAAACCTATAAAGCCTGATTTTGATTTCTGTAATTCGTAAATAGTAGCTTTGTCCCTTAAGGAAGGAACTATAGAAAGATAAAGTTACAGGATATGAGCGAACTTTTTCCCCCTTCAGACAAGAAGATTCGAATTTTGAGTTAACGCTACAATTTTGAACACTGGGGGATAAAAAGGAGTCCCTGTTCTGTCTGATGGCTGAAGTTCCCTGACTAATGGATGCCACGTTTGTTTCAGAAACTTATAAGTAGATGGCCGATCTGTGTTAAACTGGTGCTGTTTTCTGACTGTATCAAGATTAAATTTTTAATCAAACAAAGACGGGTAATTTCAGATGGTCATTGCAGGGTAAAGCCTGTCCATCGCAATCATTTTAAGTAATGTACGCGTCATATAAAGTTAAAGCACCTGTGCTTCTCATTCACTATTTGCTTGAGATTCGATTTTGAACATACGAACCAAAGTGATATCACGTCCACTTCTTTTTTTTTTTCAAAAAAAAAAAAGGCTTAAAGTTCTGCTGCTATGCTTCAAATGTCTGTAATGAGAAAAAAGGCCATTAAAACAGGTTTCAAAATTTTAAAATGTTTATGATAGATTTTCTTCGTCCGGTCCGTATGCTCCGCATCATTTCTTATTTTGCAACATAAATAACTTCGGCAGCACATGGGACAAATGCAAATTTTGAATGTGCTTTTCATGAGCAGCATGAATGCTGTTTTTGTTTAATAAGAATCTGCTGCTTGAATGCATTTCTTACAATTTCTTCTTTTCTCACGGCCTTGATATTATAGAGACTCTGGATCCTGAAGTGAGGATCTTAAGTCTTGCAATCAAGTCTCCTGGAAGATCTGATATTTTTCTTCCGATTCCTGAGGATGGAAAGCCAGAAGGGCCATGGTTTGCATTGAAAGAAGGCAGCCGTTACAGCCTCGAATTCACTTTCCAGGTCAACAATAACATAGTATCAGGCCTCAAATACACAAATGCAGTTTGGAAAACTGGTATTAAAGGTACGCTCTCCTTACCCTTTCTGAATACTGTAGCGCAAAATGTCAAGGCTGTTGATGCTCTCATATGAATCTTGATGCTTTTATGACTCTTTTTTCAGTGGACAGTACAAAACAAATGATAGGAACCTTCAGTCCGCAGGCAGAACCTTACACACATAAAATGCCAGAAGAGACAACCCCTTCTGGCATGTTTGCAAGAGGATCATACTCAGCTCGAACAAAGGTGAGTTTTGGACTTTTTTCCATTTTGCCTCTGCAAGCTCAAATTACTCATTTGTAACTGCCTGAACTCTGAAGGGGCGGAGAAAGTATTTCCCCAGAGTCCTGCTACTATACATTGAATAGCTTCTGCTGCAATGAGAATTCCCTCTTTGTCGTTAAACATAATCACCATTTGACTGGTTGTTTTCAATTGGTTGTGGGAATTATTAAGGTGGCAGCCACCTCTGGTATATTGTTGATGGTGGATTGATGGATCAATGTCAGTTTGATCACTTTTGCACATGGTGGGATAACTAAACTGAATACTGGGGGACCATCTTCTGTCTTTTGCCTTTTCCCTGTCTTTTGCATTTAATGCTCTAAGCATTTAAGTAAGGTCTTAAGGACAGCTTACTTCAAAATGTTCTCTTGATGCTAAATCCAAGATCTTTATTTGACGACAATTGATGCTGACAACAACTGAGCTGAGCATATGTAAAGATGAAGTTCCAGATAATGAGATTTTGAAAATTTGGCTTTATTGGAAACTCATGCATCTTTTCTTTGGGTTCAATGAGGCCATTTTGAGGAATAATAATTATTAATCCTTTTGCTATCCTAACCTGCTTCCTGTCTTTTTCTCTGTTTCTTTTTTGGTACAGTTTCTTGATGATGATAATAAGTGCTACTTGGAGATCAACTACACATTTGAAATCAAGAAAGAGTGGCAGGCAACCAATAATTGATGCTTTTTGCTGGAAATCTAGTTTCCTCGCCGCAGAATGTAGCTCTGTTTGGGTTGTAGCTTAGTTATGCCAATCTTTCTTCAAACTTTCTCGAGGAAGGAGGAGAGAACAGACAGCAATCGACAAAAAAAAAATGGAATGGAGAAGAAAAAGAGAGGAAGAAAGAAAATCTGTCAATGATTGATTGATTGATGCTCGAAGTGTTTAGCTTCTAGATTGTTGTTTATCATTCTCTTGGTACAAGTAAGGTCATTGTTTTTTTTTTTTTTTTTTTCCTTTTTGAAGTGTTATTCACAATAAACTTAAGCTTGGCCTGTTACAATCTTAAAAAGAGGAATGACTTCTCCTTGGTAGCCCAGCCTGACATTTCATTGACCTATTTTTCTGGGGAAGAGCAAGTAACAATTGGAGTTAGAAACTGCAATAACCTACCGGTACTCGCTCGCATGCGGATCCAGGTTCTCTGCAATTATTGTCCATATTGCAAACAACAAATTGTGGTGAGAGATGAATGTAGTGAAATTTGGGTGTTCGCGACTGGATTTTTGGACCCAATTTTCAATAAGTGAAAAAAGTGGTCCTGTATTTGTTATTTATTTATACCTTCCAATCTGGATATGCTTGGTTTGCCGTTCTTGAGAAAATTATGCGGTGATAATTCTTCCTCGTTCGGTATAACATCTGATGGATACAATTACAGTGTAGCATAAAATAAATTTTGGGAAATCCAAATGCTAGCCTATATTTTTTACCCCAAAAAAAAAATTTGTTAGCCTACATACTCATTTTTTTCAGTTTAAATGCAAGATTTCAAACCTGTGATCTCCGCCCTCTATATCACCTAACCCATTCTTCTCCCAACCTATATACTCACTTAATTTTCAGAGAAAGCAAGAACTAAGAGTGCATTTGCTAAAACTGAAATATGATAATTGAATTTTAAAATCTAAAATCTAAAGTTTAAATCCATTGATTTATTAAATTGTTAAGTATTAAATGTGATATATTCGAGACTATATCATATTAAGTGATAAATGAATAGTTTATTACTTATTTTGTGGAGCAAATTTTGTTTAGAAAATTTAATGCCACTTAATTAACTTAAGTCTTCTATTTTTTGTCATCAAACGCGTCTAAATATGTTAAAATTTGAATCATTAAGTTTTATTACTGAATTGAATTATCAAATAGGACTTAAACTTTAACTCCAAATACGCGCGCGCGCGCGCGCGCACACATACACATATTGAAATATTGTTCCCAAATTGAATTTTTACCCAATTCGTATTTCTCTACTTTTCCTTGTTTAAATTAGAATATAACACAATATTATGAATATATTCTTCTCTTCTCCTCATTTTAATTCTATGTAATAGTTCTATGTATTTTCAAATTATTAAAAGTTTTAAACACTTTATACTAAATAAGTATTAAATTTTTTCGTAACCGCTATAAACTGTGTAGTCTAGCTATTTATTAAGCCAATTGGACTGCCGTGTACTAAAATGAGAGCGCGGACAATTCCCAAACTAAAACTCAAGAATGACCGAGTTATTTTTCCACTTCCAAGAAAATAATCTGGACAATTATACTAGTAAAGTTGCTGCAGAGAATTGGGCCTTGTCATGTGGAGAAAACAGTAAGCCCAAAAAGGTCCGGATAGCATTTCATCCTCTCGAAAGTCGGCTGACAGCCAGCCCAGGCTCTTCCTCCACTCCTTGTTCTTTTTCTGTTTTATGTTCTACACATTTTTCTCCGGTCAATTCATCCAACGAAAAAGAAATCAGTCGAAACCCTGGAATTGGATCCAAACCCTACAATCTTCATCGTTTCTCTCTTTCGCCGTTCTTCACCGGTAAGTTGTACGGATACTAGCAATTCGATAGAGTTTTATGTATCTCAAGCATTAACGTGAAATTCTATGAAATTTCCCCCATTTTGTTTCTGTAACTATTGAGATAGTTTCAGCTTGAGCTCGAACGCTATTGATTAAGTGAAATTATTGGAGGTTTTTCTTCTCCATGTTTTGTATTCTTTCTTCATTCCGAGGTTATCTCTTATAGCTGGCTAATTTAGGGTTTCTTTTCTTTCTCTTTTTGATAATACATTTCTTAGTTTTTACGATGGTAGAGAATTCCAGTTCCAAAAGGCAGAAGATAGTGGAGCAATCCTCTGGTTCGGCGTCAGCTTCTCCTCCGCCGTCTACGGTCGCATTTGAGAATCCTTTACTTCCTCTCGCTTCGTATGAGGACGACGATGACGAGGAGGATGACAAGAGAGGAGGGAACCTCAATAGGGTTTTGAGCGGGGGCAGAGGATCAGAGCCGAATGGCAATACTCACAAGGAAGAATATGATGAAGAAGAAGATGACGATGATACTCTTATGGTGGGAACTCGTGGAAAGCGCAGTCGAGCTGTTGAAGTGAGAAGGGACTGTCCTTATCTTGATACTGTTAATCGACAGGTATTTTAATTAATGCTTTTGCTTTACTGAGTCATTAAATATAGCACAATGATGTTTTTTTTTTATTAGTTGTTGATTTGTTCTTGTTTTTAATACTTTTCATGTTTGTTTTTCCTGAAATTGCTTCTATCTAGGAATAGATAACATGCCTCTCACTGGAAATTATGGCTGTTTGCCTGAGTGGCTGGTGTAAGATACTGTCGATTATCATTAAGTAAATCTCTTTGCAGTATTTCAGACGAACCTTGGGTTTTAGTAGCTTCCAATTTTTTGGGTGCTTAAAATTATGATCGTCCTTTTGATGCTTTAGAACAATTTGTTTTTATGTAATGCAATCTCTTTGTAGTTTTAAGAAACTGTTTTATGTTGTTGCTTCTGGTTATGATATTCTCTACTTTGTTGTGTTCAGGTTTTGGATTTTGACTTTGAGAGGTTTTGCTCAGTTTCCCTTTCCAATTTGAACGTTTACGCATGTTTAGTTTGTGGAAAGTACTACCAGGGAAGAGGCCAAAAATCTCATGCATATACTCACAGTCTTGAAGCTGGACACCATGTCTACATCAATCTTCGGACAGAGAAAGTTTATTGCCTCCCTGATGGATATGAGATTGTTGACCCATCATTGGATGACATTCGACATGTTCTTAACCCAAGGTGTCTGAAAATTTTATGTCAATGCTGACATATTTATTTTCCTCTTGATTGCCTTTTATCTATGGTTCACATTTCCAGTGTCAATTATATGATGTGTTGATTGGATAAGATGTGTTTCAGTAACAAATCTCATGCATGTCTCATGTTTCCCTTTCCCCATCCCTTTCTTTTATTTTTCGGTGTGGCTGGGTTTTGGCCGCAGAGGGAAGTGTAGATGACATGAAGAGGTAAAGAAAGGAGGTTTTGCTTGGAAGTCAAGCATTCTTTTTCTGATTATAGAGTTTTCCTAGTTTCCACAAAATGACTTCATAAAAGTGCTTAATGCTTCCTACAATGTATAATGCTGGATTTTTTTATCTTTTCATGCTAGATTTGGCCCTTGTCTCCTGTTTGTTGTCTTTGCTGGCTGCCGACTTTGTTTTGGCACTGTGTAACAGGTTCACCAGGGAACAAGTTTTGCACCTTGACAAGAATAAGCAATGGTCTAGGGCACTTGATGGATCAGATTATCTACCTGGAATGGTTTGTTCTCGTTATCATCGTTTAATACTTGAAATGTCATCTATATCCTTGTTAGTGCCTATATTGAGTTTTTTGCACGGGAACTGATTTGTAGGTGGGGCTGAACAACATAAAGGAAACAGATTTTGTTAATGTCACTATTCAGTCCTTAATGCGTGTTACTCCTCTGAGGAACTTTTTTCTTATCCCTGAAAACTATCAGCACAGCAAATCTCCACTAGTTCATCGATTTGGAGAGCTCACTCGAAAAATTTGGCATGCAAGGAACTTTAAGGGACAGGTTCGGACTGGTACTGAACGTCCATGGAATTGTTTCTTGTTCACAAGTTTCATTCTGTACTTCTGTGAATTTTGCAGGTTAGTCCACATGAGTTCTTACAAGCAGTTATGAAAGCCAGTAAGAAACGGTTTCGAATTGGTGCGCAGTCTGACCCTGTTGAGTTTATGTCATGGCTTCTTAATACACTGCATGCAGATCTCAAAGGTTCAAAGAAAAGTGGCAACATTATCCACCAATGCTTTCAGGTACTATTCTAATGAAACCGTTTTCTTTGCTTTCCTGCATGTTTTTGTTGTACTAGATGAATTTTTGTTGCTTGTTTTGAGCAAAAAAAATTGTCCTTTATCATTTCATTAGGGAGAACTGGAGGTAGTGAAAGAAAGCCATAGCAAACCCATTGTTGAGAAAAAGGTAGATGGAGATGCAGTAATTAATGGTAATGGTGTAGATACTGGGTCCGAGGTGCATAGTTCTTTTACAGAAAGTACCAGAATGCCGTTCTTAATGCTTGGTCTAGATTTGCCACCCCCGCCACTCTTCAAAGATGTTATGGAGAAAAACATCATCCCCCAGGTTACTTCACATTCTTTTAATTCTGGTGTTGTGGTTGTCACTTGTTCATATCTTGTTCTAAGAATTGATAATCAGAATGCGCAAAACACGTTGGTCATTAGTTTCATGCTCAAAACTGTAATTTTGTGCATTTGAACTAATTTCCCTGCGAGACACTGTCCTGTTTGTTCTATGGTGGGGACAATAGATTGGTTAAAGAATTTTCTGAGGCAACTAGCTATGAGGTGCTGCCACTTTGGTCATTGCAGGGTCTGGGGATCACTGGGGAATACTGGGTGAAGTGGTGTTAGTCACATTAGGTGCTATATCAGAGTTGTTGATCATAGTCCAGTACAATTTGGTAGGAGGAAGGAGATCTTCACCTTTGGGTTGCCTTTATGTGGGAAAAATCATATAGATGTTGATATATGACATGCCTTACAAAACATATAGCACCTCAAAGGCTTTATAAGGTTTTAAGTGTTCAGGTTACCACCTTTATCTGTGATCTCATACTTGGTGCTTTAATGCTATCTTGGGGCATCTGGACTTAGCTTTATTTAAGGGCATCAAATATGATGACTTGGTTATTCATGGACAGGCAATATACCTTGCCAGGACAGGATATTTAGTGCTTTTATGCTTGTGATGTCTGCCTTGTATCATTCATATTTGTTGAATCTGTATCTCACCATCTTTCCCCTCCCTTCCAAAAAAAAAGGAAAAAATCCTGCTTTATTACGGATTTATATTGAATCTGTATTATGTTGTTTTATATTTTTTGGC